TCGACAATTTTCTAGTCATTAAAAACCATGTTCATGATTTAAACGATAGAGTCTACAATTTGCTTCATATCATGGATTTGTGTAATATAGTCGAAACATGTACAATTTCTAATGCTGTGCTATATTTACCTATTTTTATATTTTTTTAGTCTAATAAGTATTTCAGTATATTCTTATTTATTAATATCTACACTCAGACGCAAAAAAAGCAACTGAGAAAATTTTGGTGAAATTTAAAGTGTCATATATTTTTTTTTATTTTTAGCTCTATTTTCATTATTTTTTAGCAAGCTGTATATAATTATATCAAATTTAATTCGTAAACTCACTTTTTTATAAACTTTAGTATTTGACATATTATACAGGGTTAATCGAGAGGATTTCACCCTAACTTTGACACACCCTGTGCAATAATTTCGTGTGTTAAGTCCGAACCATGTCTCCTGAGCATTTTGTTTTTTGGATCATGTCAATACATGCCTTGGTTAATTTTTCAGAGCGAAATGAACTTGCCACCAACAATTTGCAATTTTTTGAATTGTAATTTCTTTTTGAAGTTTTTTTTTTCAATATGACAAGGCAGCTTTGGTGATTATTGTGATCTATACACTACCATGAACTGCCCATCATGTTCAACGTTTGGGAAATGCTTGGGGCAGGAGGGTTAGAGGTCGCGAAGCGGTACCAGCTTCATTTAATGAACTTCGCTTGGTTCTTAAAGAATAATAGGAAAGCATAACGCAATATAATAAATATATGCAGCCTCAATGACAGCATGAAAGGACGTATACAGGCAGTTATAGCAGCCATGAGCCAGGGGAGGCAATGCAAAGTATTAACCCGTGGTTACATTGGATGCGTATCCGTGCGTTTTTTTGGTCGTACGTGTTCGGACGTGCACGCAGCAAAAAACAAACAAATGGTATCTACGCAGGCGGTTACATTGCATCGGAGTTTGCGCGTCCGTGCACGTACATCAATTTCCGTTGGTGGGATGAAAACAAACTGATTTTTTTTTAATACGTGCACGTCGAAGCGTTCGAATTTTTATATCTCTGGGCCCAATACATTCCCGAAAAATTTGAATATTTTTGAATACCACGTTTATTTTTATTTTAGATATATTGATGTTGCTGGAAACATTGTAAAATATTCAAAAAATTTGACCGGTTTCTGTTTTAATTCACCAAATATTTTACATATTCATTTTCTTCGCCTTTTCTTGCATATAAATAATTACTAGACTCGAGGAAGTACCTACAAGGAACGATTCAAAATCAGGGTTCTGAGGATGTTCCGGAAATCTCTGTAAGTGAAATTTACAATGCTCTAAAAAAGATGAAGAACAATAAAGCTCTGGGGGATGATGGTGTCGTCACAGAAGCGATAAAAAGGGGAGGAACAGTATTAATGACCAATATTCAACGGCAGAGATTGAACACTCTGTCTGGAAAATCAAAATATCCCTACAAAGTGGAATAACTCAATAATTATCCTCTTACATAAAAAAGGAGACATAACAGACCTGGAAAATTACAGACCAATTACAGCCTTCTCAACCATCTTTATAAACTATATACCCGAATTATAACAAATAGACTAGAGGCAAAATTGGACTTCTACCAACCTAAAGAGCAAGCTGGTTTCCGTTCCGAATTTGGTACCAACGGTCATCTGCAGTGTTTAAAAACCTTAATAGAAAAAACCATCGAATACAATCGTCCCCAAAACCGTTCGATACGGTAGAATTACCGGCCCTCCTAACAGCGCTACAAGAATGTAGAATCGACCATCGATATTGTAACATAATAAAAAACGTGTATGACAATGCTACAACAACTGTAAATTTACATTCCACAACTAACCAGATAAAAATAAAAAGGGGAGTTAGGCAGGGCGATACCATGTCGCCAAAATTGTTTATTACTGTTCTTGAGCATGCATTCAAAATGCTGGCTTGGCAACAAAAAGGAATAGTTATCGATGGAGAGAGACTCAACCACCTACGCTTTGCGGATGATATCGTTATAGTGTCAGATAGTCTGGGAGAGATCAAAGACATGCTTCAAGAACTTAACGATGCATTACACGAGATTGGACCAACAATAAATTTTGACAAGACTAAGATAATGACTAATATGGTGCCCAGCGAACACATACAAATTCACAACAACAGAATAGAATTAGTCCACAAATATGTATACTTGGGCCATGAGATCAAAATAAGCAGAGATAACCAAACCTGTGAACTGGCTAGACGAATTACCTTGGGATGGGCGGCTTACCTGAAAGTAAGTACCTGAAGAACTAATATCGTTAGTTCTGTTATCATTATTAATGTTTATTAAATCTAGAACTGAATGGTTAGTCTTTATCGTTTTTTTTTAATTTAGTATAGAGTATCCGATGCAGGCGTAATATGACGTTACGACAATAATAGTCACCAGAACCATCTCGTCATATTAAAAAATTACATCTGGAAGTAATGATAATTGAAAAAATTGCAATTTGTTGGTTGCAACTTCATTTTGCTCTTAAAATTTAACCAAAGCATGTATTGAGATGATCCAAAAAATAAAATGCTCAGGAGACATGGTTCTGACTGTAAAATTATATTTTAGGAAAATTTACAGACGAAATTATTGCACAGGGTGTTTTAAAGTTAGGATAAAAAAAACAACCCCTCGATTAACCCTGTATAATACGCCAAATTACTAAAATTTATAAAAAACTCAGTTTACGAATTAAAGTTGACATAATTATATACAGTTTTCTAAAAAAATTATGAAAATAGGGCCAAAAATAACAAAAATATAACACTTAAAAATTTGACCAAAAATTTCTCCGTTCCTTGTTTTGCATCTCAGTGTATATGCAAAGTAAGTTTAATCTTTGATCTGCGTACGTACTTATTTATTAATTTTAAATATTTATTTATTTATTTATTTATTAGTATTGATGTAATAAGATTTTATGCCAAAAAGAAAAACAAATATATTTTATAATAAAGTATTGAATATTACAGTGTAAGCAAAGCCAAAAGTTCTCTCACACTTTATTAAATATATTTTCTTGTTATTTCTAGGATCTCATCAGCTTTACGTACTAATATATCTAAGCAACCATTTATAGTTTATACGCTTTTTACGCAGTATTATAGATCTAGTCCTAAGATATAAAAAAACTATCAAATTTTATGAGTACCCAGATTTTAAACGCATTCTATTTTTTGAATTTCTACGAACGGAAATAAAAAGGCTTTCTGTGAAATAATTTTTAACTTGTCAAAGGTGTATATATACATCATTGTTAAAAAAATGTATGTAGATTTGCATTTCTGTGTTTTTGCACATACGAGTGATAGAAAAATATTTTTGTTTTATAAAATAACATTGTTATAAAATTCAGAAGTGTGATAATTATTTGTTGAAATATCTACTCGTACTCGTTTGACAAGTTAAAAATTATATTTAAGAAAATTTAGGAAGTATATACATATAGCCATACTTTGTTGCATGACTTTTATTACATTTTACATTAAATTTACGATAAATAAATTATTAATTATTATTATATTCTATTATAGTAGATTAAAATTAAAATAAAGTATTTATAATCTGCTAAACTTGTAATACGATACTGTAAAAACATATTATTAAATTTAGACAATGAATGCGTAAATCTTTCTATCCATGTACGAAAATTATCAATATTTTTTTTACATTGTCAATTTTGCTGGTATTTTATATTTACATTACATTTTGTATTAATTGAATACAAAAAAAGAATCATCTTAGTTTTACATTGTAACTTTGAATATATCAGAACTTCATATTGTACTATGCAAATATAGTACCTTTGCTGTAACCAGATACAAGAGGATTTACCAGTCTACAGAACAAAAATGTTAACATGGATAGACTTCAGTTGAGTGGTACAAACTAATTTTTTTTTAGAAAAATAAACATAGATAAAATATATTTAATGTTAGGGTATAAAAAATGCTAGAAAACAAAGTGTCATATTATATAAAATATTTTTTATTATTTTCTAAGTACTTAAAAATACCTTTTGTATACAACGAAAAGGAATTTCAACATATTTATGTTATTAAGGCGTACCACTCTACTAAAGACTACATCGAGCAATGCTCAAAACAAAAACATAATCTATTATTACTAACTGGAAATCTTTAAAAGTCATCTCTTATTTATTATATTTATTACTATTACTAACTTTTATGCCAAATTAATCCTACTCAGATTGGTATAAACTATTATAAATAAAACGTACATGAATTTATTAAGATAAAGTTAACACATTCTGAATCGGATTTATTTGGTCTGCTATTCAAGTTCATATAAAACTTTATAAAAGAATTATAAATTAATAAAGTTAATTATAACGCAAAGGTTGGTATTTTATTATTAACCTATTCTAACAATGTTCTTTCATGGTTCTTTCAATCAAGGTTGTAAGAATTTGAATATACCTAATCGCTCTGCGGTGCATATATGATCTCAAATATTGTTTTATTTACCAAAATAACAAATTAAAAATAAAAATAGTCATACTTAACAGTATAAACAAACAAAATTTATAAGGAGACTGTTTTTTCTAATAATAATAAAAAAGCAAACAGCCCTTTTGTAAACCGTCATTATATAAAACAAAGACATAATATGTCTGATATCTAAAACTTAACATAAAAACTTTTTACTTACTGTTTAAGAAGATGTAGATAAATTATTTGTAAAAAATAATCTGCAATTATATTACCTGTGTATTTAAAAATTTCACTTAAACCTGCTTAAACTTTGTTAAATTGTTAAACAAAATGGCTAGTGTTCTCGTTGTTAAAATACACCACAGAAATACATAATACATAATCTGACATAATATTTGACATAAAAAAGTAAGCATTTTTTCTAATTTTTTTATTCCTTCACCAGGATGTTTGATATACATGCTTATGTAACCAGTAAAACATTGAGAATCTAACCTTAAATACCTTTGAATCGCAAACCTCAAACGTCAAAAAGTTTGTTTTTGTTTTGTTTTTATATTATAATTTCTGAAATTTTTTAATAAAAACTTGTAAATAATCGAAAGGATAATGGTAAGACACAATCATAGATTTGTTTTAAACCATTGTTATTGAGTAATATCCTCTGCAGGCTCTCAACGAAGATAAAAAAGAAATGCTTAGAGAAGAACACACTAGAAAAATTAATGAGGAAAAGATTCAATTGATTCGAGCTAAAATCGAGGATAAAAATCGCTATGGGAATCTTTTACGTTATATGAACAAGCAAAGAAGGGAACAGGAAGAAGAACAACAGATGAACCAAAGAAAAGAACAGGCTGCATTAAAGGAATTTCAACACGAACAGGAAAATAAGCTAGCATTTGAAGTAGACAACATTAAGAGAAATGAGATAAGGCAGTTAAAATTGAGGTAGAATACATTATACAGATAAGATCTAGTAACATTTTTTCTATCTTATAGGCAGCAGCTAAGAGAGAATACACCTGAATTAAGAGAACTCGAAAGAAAATTAAAAGGCGCATATGTGAATAAAGAACTAGCTGCACAGATTGCTCAGAAAGAAATTGAGAAAATAAATGAAAAGGTATGTAAATCTAAATTTAAATAATTCCTCGACTAAAAATGATTTTTACTTTTATAATAGATTGAAGAAAAACGAACACATGAAATTTTACAAATGGCTAAAATTAAGGAAGAAGAACTTAAAAGAATATTAGCTGAAGAAGATATAATTAAGAAAGCCCAGTACAAGCAAGAACTCCAAGAACAAATAATCTTAAGAGAAAAATCTAAGAGATATTTGTACGAAGAATTTCTAAGAGAAAAGAAGAGGATTGATGATATTATACAGAGAATTCACGATGAAGACGAACGTGATATCCAAGAAAAAATGTGCAAGGTGAAGATCTTTTAATAAAATAGTTAAATTTATTAAGTTTATCGTAAATTTTATGTTATTCTTTTTTTATAGATGAAGAGAACTAGAGAAGAAATGTGGGCATTTGAAATGGCGCAACAAAAATGGAAACAAAGAAAAAAAGAAGAAATTGAAGAAGAAAATAGAAAAATTCAAGAATTTTTACAACAGAAAGGTGCTGATGTAATGGCTAGGTATTTAAGTTAATATTATATCAAGGTCAATTCACTACTAAATTTTTAAATTTATTTTTTAGGATGGAAGAAAAGAAAAAAAGAGAAGAGGCTAAGGCCAAATTACAAGAAGATATAGCAAGGAAAATACACGAACAAAGAGTAAGTTTTTTATACATCTATAAAGTTTAATTTGCTTGAATTTTTTTCGATATATACATATTAAAAGGTTACAGAGTATCCGCTATTTCCGCGAATGTACAAAGAAATGAATATGCTGCAATGCGTGAGGGCAAGCATTGCCCGAAAGCTTCCAGTAGCATTGGGTTTTTCGTGACTGATTGTCTATAATCTTGAAATGAAATTTTCCCGTCTCTGTCTATGTCCATTTTTTTGGTAATTACTTCAATCATGTCCTAAAATATAATATGACCATTTTGACATGTGTTACTATTATTAGATGGGAGAATTGAATGTTTTACTCTAGCTGATTCTTCAGCATCTTCTTCTCCACTTTGACTTATCATTGAGGTTCTTAATAATTGGAATATAGTGTCTCTTGCCAATATCCCATCACCCATGATATCATATACCTCAAAATAAATGTTATGTTACCTCAAAAAAGGAATGTTAATGCACCCACATTACTTAAAGGTGATATTATAAATTCAAAGCACTATTTTAGTGTTCAAGAATTTTTTTAGTGTTTCGAGAGTTTTCATGATACAGAGCGATTTTAAAAAGGTTGAAATTTCATACATTCCTCATATTTCAGTTTTATGACAACTTATCAGAAAGGACTGCAAAATGTTAAATGTGTTATATGAAAATTATACTTTTTGTTGTTTATGAAAATAGATTCATAGGTACTCTTATACAGGGTTGTTCACCACATACGACACGGAGTATTGTAGCTAAACGATTAGATTTTTACAAATTGTAAGTTTTGGTGTCGTTGAAGGACTATTAGAGCTACAATTTGGAAATAATTTTACAAAATACAGAGTGTCCCGAATAAGTAAAAAATATTATAGTTGTATTTTTTAAAACGGAACACCCTGTATATTATTCTATTTTTAGATCTACGATTGAAATAAAGGTAAATTTGATTAAGGTTTATCACACTCAAACCTTACCGTTTTTGAAATATTTTCAATTTTGTGAAATTGCAGTAAAAAATTTAAGGCTTCATTTTTCCAAGGTTATCGAAATTTTTAATACTAAATATTTACTAAATTTATTTATTGAACAGATATTGTGTTGCAATAATAAAAATTATACTACCTTATACAGAGTGTCCAAAAATTTATAATAAATAATTACTAGCTTTAAACGGCAATAACTTGTTTAATTTAAATAGAACACCCTGTATATTTTACCTGAATCAGACGCACAATTTAATTGTCTATGAAATCGTATTATACTTTTTTTATTTATCTCTTGAAGTTTTCGTAGAAAATGCATTTTCTTATAATTTAGGCCTCATTTATCACTATACCCATGGAATATTGGCATTTTAGATTTTTTTAAAGCAACATATGTAAATGTACAGGTGGTAAAAATTATAATATTGTAAGCCTATTTGTTTAAAAAAAACTATTTAAATCTTTGTAAAAGAGTATACCTACCAATTATTAATACCACTATTATTTCCGCCCAAAAATTAGTTAATTAAATACTTAATTGTTTTAATTAATAAATTATTTATAAAATAAAATAAACAAATATGCATTTGATTCAGAAATCAATACAATAATAAGTTATGAAAATGCACGTCTCTGTTGTTATAAATAAGCATTCATCAAGAAATAAAATAAAATGTATAAGGTGTTACTTTTTACCACACTGTATAATACACACACAAAATTCAATTTTTTAGTATTTGGAGCAATTATTATTAATCAACGTAAACAGTCAATTAATGTAGTTTGAATAATGGAGTCATATTAATTGGTCCTCTTTAACAAAAAATATTTAAACAGTTTTTTTTATCTTTCAATGAAATAAGCGAAATATATCGACAATATTAGTATCTGTACTCTTTCAAAATTTCTTACATCTTTAAAAATAATCTAAAATGTCAATATTCCATGGGTATAGTGATAAATGAAATTTAAATTATAAGAAAATGCATTTTCTACGAAAACTTGAAGAGATAGGTAAAAAATTGTATAATTCAATTTGATAGACAATGAAATTGTGTCTCTGATTCTCGTAAAATATACAGGGTGTTCCATTTAAATTAAACAAGTTATTGCCGTTTAAAGCTAGTAATTATTTAATATAATTTTTTAGACACTCTGTATAAGATAGTATTTTGTTTATTATTGCAACATAATATCTAATGAATAAATAAACTTCAGTAAATATTTAGTATTAAAAACTTCGATACCCTTGGAGAAATAAAGACTTAAAATTTTTACTGCAATTTCATAAAATAGAAAATATTTCAAAAACGGTAAGGTTTGAGTGTGTAAGGTCAAATTTACCTTTATTTCAATCGCAGAGAATCTAAAAATAGAATAATATACAGGGTATTCCATTTAAAAAAATACAACTATAATATTTTTTACTTATTTGGGACACTCTGTATCTTGTAAAAATATTTTTAAATTGTAGCTCTAAGAGTCCTTCAGCGAACCCTAAGTTTACAATTTCAATTTTCAGTTGGCTAAAAGCTAACCCAAAACATAAAATTTAGCTTAAAAACAAACTAAACTAAACAAAATTTGTTATACATATTCATGGCTAAGTATTATTAAAACACACATAATAATAAAATTATACTTACATTTACATTCATTAAAATCTCATTCGAAAAGCATAAAATATGATACCAGAAACGTAAAAAAACAAGTGCGTTAACCTAACCTAACTTCTTATACCGTATCTCTGACCATATGATGAAAAAAAGACGTCAGCGATGGCTATGAAAAGAAAATCGCTGTCATTTTATATGGGGAATGTCATCGATATTCATTTCCAAGCCAACTAGACGCCGTTTTTTTTTCGATCCTATGGTATATTTGTTATATTATTAATTAATATTAGCTTGCGCGGATCTTTCATTTGAATCTTTGTTGCAATGTTGCAGAAAAAACGTTTTAATCGCCATTCAAAAACAATGTTTCTGTAGCAAGGTTTCATCAATCACGACACAACGTTTAGAAATCAACATTACAAAGCAAACTGTTTGGGGATTGACTGCAATGTTGCAAATGTAATGTGAGGTTTTTTGCTTGGTGGGCGGTTTTTGCTTTTTTGATAAGTTGTTAGACAACTGAGATACGGTGTTGTGAAATTACTACTAATAACAAAACAGAAATTATATTAAACACTTTTTAGTAATCTTTGGTAATCATTCACCTATTATCCCATTTTAATAGGTAATTTCTCTTAATACTCACTGAAAAACAAAATTGAATCTGCTCATCGAGAGTTCCTCTCAAAAATAGTGAGAGAGCTGTAGCCCATGTCTCCATGGATATACAGGCACTTGGACCTTTATCTATTGCAAGAAATACCCTGTCCATCAGGCTGTCATCTGTCATATCCAAGGCACAGTGCAAAACGTCTCTAAACTGTATTTTTGTAACACCTTCCTGAAAATTAAAAGTAACAAAGCAGGCATCAACGTTTAGTGCTTTCCAGTCTACTTGTTTAGGATTGGAAGCCTGTCCTTCTTTCTGAAGTTTGTAATACATGATTAACAGGCATTCTAACTCCAAGTAGTTGAAGTGAAGTCTTTTTTCTAGCCTGTGGATTAAATATTGGTTTCTTTTTCGAAATCTGGTCTCTTCCATTGAATCCATGGACATGTCCAATTGACCTGCCATAGCTGAAAACATTCAAAATCGTTTATAAAGTTGATTAGAGAAATTTTATAATATACATCTCGCAACATTTTCTCTTCTTTGTCGGTTAACTTTTTTCTGTAGGAACCTTTGTTTAGATACCATTAGAACTTTAAAGGTTTTCAAAAAATCCGGCATGATTGGGATTCAGACTATGCGGACATATGGTAAAAGAAATAAATAGATTATAAATTTATTTTTTAGAATTTCTATATGAAATGTGAAGCGACAGTGACATTTTATATCACTTTATTTTTTTTTGAGGTTATTAAAAAAACATACAATGGGCAAAATATCCAAGATGAGAATAAATTACTTGGAAGTAGGAGAAATAAACAGGGAGTTTCATAAAACGTGTGCCATCTCGCGTGGGAAGATTCCTTGCGTAAAAATAAGATTTATTTTAGTATTGAAAACACTTCTGGCCGCGTTTATATGGGACCCATCTTTGAAAAAACGACATGCTAGATGCGACATGAGTTCAATAACTTGCCTAATCAACTTGTCAACACGTCTGCCATAGCTGAATAGAGCAAGGACGTCCGAGGGCCGAAATGAGGTCTTATTAGTGTGTGTGTGGGCCAACTATTTTATGGATATGGATGTTTAGTCTGGGAAAGCCGATATTATTATAAAAAAGAATATGCGTCAAGGCATGGGTTGTTAGGTATAGTTGGGCTATTTTAATCTAACTCTTTCCGTATGAGAAGCAGGGGGCAAATTATACGTGAAAGAGCGGAATAACATAAATAATAAATTTTGACTAATGCAATATTTTTTCTTGGCGCGTAGGATAATGCGCACAATCGATGCATTAAAATGAATAATTAATTAAATCATTAAGTTCCAAAACATAATAACTCGGGTCTCATCGGATCTGCTGATACATTTTCATAAAATCCTTGTATATATTATAAACAAGGATAAAATTTAGGCTATTAGGACCTATATTTTTTTTATATGATTGTTATTTTTTTAATTAACAACTTAGGACAAAGAAAAAGCTTGCATGGTTTCCACCGCCAACAGGTGTAAAAACAAATGAATCCAAGGCGGTGCCAAATATTTTTTATTGGGATAAGATTTTATCGTTTGAATATTGTTGTAAATAATTATCATTTAATTAGTGCTAACTTATCCAAGTTCACAACACGGCGAAATTTCAACAAAATCAGCCAACGGATCTTGGAGATATTAATAAAAAAGGTCTATTTTTACCTTAAAAACACTCAAAAAATCACCTCCTGAAGTTTGGTCAGATACTTCATTAACACGCTGTATTTAAAAATGGCTAGCTAGTGATTTAGTAAGCTATGTTTATTTTAATAAGAAAAAAATACATTTCATAAAAAATAAACAAACCCATAATACAAATACTATACACCAATAAATTAATTTTAAATGTATCTAAATAGGCACTTTAATAATTGAAAAATGAACAGGAGCACTTCTTAAAATCACTTCATAGAGTATACAAAATATGCTAAAAATAATAATTCCAATAAAAAAAACACAAATGGCACATTAAAATCTGCATTATCTGAAATCAAACTATAGCTAAACGGCTAATAAAATAATAGAGACAAGACGCCAAAATCTATATACAGGGTGTCCCAGAAATAAGTGCAAGTATTTTAACTGGTAGTATAGTTCAACCCCAGAAAGACGCCTATGAGGCTTTTTTCGCGAAAAAAACCATTTTTGAAAATTCGACATTTTTTGAAAAAATTTTTGGAACTTTTTTTAGTTTTTTGTTAAAAAACATAATTTCTTGATAATATAGCAATATAGGTATTAGATTAAATTTACAAGAAAAAAAATCCAGAAAAGATCCAGTGGTTCTCAAAATTTCAGTCAAAACATCATATTTTTGGAAATTTTCAAAGTAAATTAACTCCGTTATTTTTCACTTATTTGAAAAACGATAAGAGAAAAACGATTCTTTTATCGAGATCTACCACCCCTTAAAATACTTGCACTTATTTCTGGGACACTCTGTATAACGCGATGAGCAGTTTTTAATAATTATTTTAACACACATTAGAACACTTTAGTTTTTTTAAACAGATACGTCTACAAAAACCGTTGACAAAAAAAAATCTTATTTTTACATGAGGAATCTTTCTACAAGAGATGACACATGTTTTTAAAACACCCTATATTAATATCTTTTTAAAAGTCAATAAAAACAAGTGTTCTTAGCTCATTAACAACATTTAGGTCAGATTTGACGAATCAGGAATTATGTAGCATGCTGATATGAGCATTATGAATATTAACGTTGGTTTAATCCCAACAGGCTAAGCAAAAGGAGCGGGAAGACATCCTTCAAGAATTGGTCATTGAAGAACAGAATGAAGCCCAGGAGTTACGTTGGCAAGCGGAGATTGAGAAACGCGTGAGGCAACGTCTTGAATTGAGGCAAACGCTGGATCAACAAGTAAAAGAAAAGGAGGAAAAACTTCGGGAGGAATCAGCTCGAGATGCCAAATTCAAAGAAGAGGTAAGAAATATCCCTTTGTATTCTAGAAATAATCGAGATCGACAACAGTGTTATAGTCTGTGAAACGAATCTTTTCTAGTGTTAATTTTATTAGGTTAGCAACTTGCGGCCATGCTGACGCAATGCCGTCTCTAATAGAACAGCCACGGAGCGAGAATTATGATGTCACGCTAGTTAGATACTACGGATTAATAAATATGTTGTAGAATACACGGAAAACATAATTATTCCTCGTTTGTATTTTAAAAATGATACGGGTTTACATGAAATATATACATAATATACAGTTAATAAATACAATATATATAAAGTCCAATTCGCGAACTTAGGAACTTTCGTCATCATTTTCGGCGCCATATTGGTTTTTACGTATTTCTTGAGTTGATCCACAGATGTCAACATTTGAGGTGCTATCGCTATTTGTAGGGAGCTATTGTATTCATGTTAGCGTTACGCCGTTAACGTTAAATTTGGCGAAAAGAATATTATTAATTTTATGAAAAGAACTAGGTAATTACCAAGAACTATATATTTTTGTTTGCAAAAAATATATTTGTGGCTAGAAAACAATATTTTATAATATACGGACCAAAAAATATAAAAGCGTTAGTTTTAAAAAGAACTGAACCCTAACTCTCATCTTTGAGACAAATTTATTCTGAAAAAGGTTTCTAGAACCACACAGCTTGTCAAAGAAAAGTATTAATAAGTTAATAGTTAATAATAATAGAAATGATTAAAAATCATGTTTATCATTGTTCTTTACAATCATTCTATTAAAAATTTATTCTATGTCTAAAAATTAGATTCTACTAAAATTTGAAACACTACATATTAAAATTATGTTTACTGTATTTAGATTAAGTGTAGTGAAGATAAAAGCTAAGATCAAAAAATAGATGTGTTGGCAATATAACATAATGTCAGCCAGATATTCGGGATGTGCAAAAAAACTCTTGGCAATGGGAGAAGACAGAATATAGAATATTTGTGAAATTACTCCCAAATGTACAATAAAACCTGATAAGTACAAAAAAAATACATAACATAATATATACAGTACAAAAATATACCACTAGACATTATAGTAAATATATATTATATTAATATATATCTTAAGATAGAGGGTGTGTCAACGATAAAGTCCATTATCTCATTTGTTTCGGGACTTACAAAAAAAAATTAAATTGAATAATTTTAGAGAATGATCATAGTCTAAGATCGGCTGCAGGATTATTACGTTCATCATGTAGTTAATCAAATCCTAATTTTTACATATATTTATGAATAGGTGAATACACTTTTAACAGAGTGCCAATGAAAAAGTGGCCGCAAATAGGGGTTACCACGGTTCAAAGTCATTCCTACTACTTTATACGAATCCGGCAACAGTGAGTCGCGCATCTGTTGCTCCTATACTAAAAAATTTAGGAATTTTGTATGAGTGCAAACTGAAAGTATATATTAGGATGTATTTGTCGAAAATAGTTTAACTTCTACGGGGTGGCTCAAAAAGTGAGTGAATCGGGATTTCTCGTTTTTTTGTTGGAAGCCGATGATAAAACTTATTTCCTGACAAAAGTTTCATTGATAGTGGGACTTGCGGGAGCCTGCCGGCGCGGCGTATCGAGTTGACAAATCTGCAGCTGCAAAATTTTAAAGATGAAGGACATGCAGATTTTTTTATAACGAAAGGAAATGTTGAAGGAATAAATATGGTGGAAATGGTTCGAAGATATATAGCTATGCGGCCAAGCAACACAGAGCATACTCGATTTTTTGTGGGGTACAGAAATTGAAAATCTATTAAGCAACCCGTTGGCATTAATACTTTAGGGAAAATGCCTTATAAAATAGCATTGCTCCTAAGTCTTCCAAATCCACAACAATACACTGGACATTGTTTCCGTAGATCGTCTGCGTCGTTGCTTATTGCAGATTCAGGAATTCATTAACTGTTAAAAGACATGGTGGTTGGCGCTCTAACACAGTGGCAGAGAGCTATGTAGAAAATTCCAAAGAAAATAAGAAAAAAGTGTCATGTAATATTTTGGGTAACATTTCTGGCAATGATGGGTCTTCAACAAGTTCAAGCACTCAGGAAATAAATTTACTTTCTAAAAATTCAACTCACCTGTCATCGTCTGGAATTAATTTAACCAATTGTACTGATATTATAATTAATTATGATTATTGTTAGTTCCCAAGCTTCTTTCAAGCCTTCCCAAACACCCACGATTTTTTTTTCTGGTTATAATTAATGTTTACAATATATAAACGTATTTAGGTACCTTGCTTCTAGTTCATAAAAAAAATTACGTATCCCAATTATTTTTGATTTTTTTGTAACTAGAATTAAGATTTACAAAGCTTCATTCAGAACCTCGCAATTAGTGGAATAAATTAGTGGTTTCAATTACATTTTACACTTTTTAGTTAGGTCACGATTATTAACAATGTCTAAAAAACACAATTAAAATTAATAGAATATCCTAGCAACAGCTTGCGGTAGACAGTTGCATCCATAGAGAAAGTCTAATATTTAGCTTATAAAAGAGAAAACTTTTGATTTCTAACCACATTTTCTCTAGACGGATGATAAGCAAAGGCCAAAATGACATTCCTCGCAAATTTTAAAGTATAATTGTGCAAAAGGGAAAAGTTTGTTAACTTTTTCCAGTAACTAAAAATTCCTACCATTAATTTTGGCGTTCTGAATGCTTACATTCAAATTTAAGAAACAAACTTCTACGCTAATTAATTCCATTAATTGCCAGTTTCTGAACGAAGCTTAAAACTGTAAAAAGTATAGAAAATCGCTTATATTTACATTTTGTATTAATAAATTTAAGATTCTGGCAAAATTAGCGGAAGACCATAAATTAGAGCAGATGTCGGAACAAAAAAGAAGAATGAAAATGTTACAGTTGAGAAGAGACGTGGAAGATACGATGAACGAGAGAAGACAGAGAAGAGCCGAAGAACTAGAATTGATTAATAAAATCAGGGAACAAGAGCAAAAAGAATTAGAAGACAGGTTTGTATTTAATTTGTCGTATTTTGTTAACATGATGGGATATATATGAAAACGATATTTTCTTTATTTACAGGAGAAAGATAATTGAAGAAGAAAGATTAGCTATGCTAAAAGAACACGTGAATAACGTGATAGGTTATTTGCCCAAAGGCCTTTTAAGACCAGATGATTTGCCACTGTTAGGAAGTGATTTGACTGAAGCCAAAAGTGTAAATTAAGTATGTAATTTCAGATGTTTCATGAAATCATTCTAATTTTTCTGTGATACAAAATAATTCACTGATAAAGATATATTTTACGCGTGGCTATATTTTTATATGTGACTAATAATTAGTATTAATTATTTTAAATATATTTATATAAATTTCAAGGCTTGTTTACAATCTAGGACTTTATTTGGTAGTTCTCCTGAAAATTTTGCTATGTAGGTATTAAGAAGAATACAATGAACATAATAAAACGTAATAACCAATTAAGGAGAAGACAAAAATTTGTGTTTTATAACCAATTGTGAATTGCCCAGCGCATTCGCCATATTTTCGTGTCTTATCTTGGAGTAATATTTATTTTAATGTGTATAAATACATATTTTTTCATTCAAATATCCATATATTATTAATCCAAAGAACCCGACAATGAAAGAAGTACCAGGTAAGCTGATTGCATAGTACTATAATTTATAAATAATTTTAGTTGACCAAAAATCTGTATTCAAAAAGGTTTAATGAATGGTAATACATACCTACCTATATTAGTTAATACACTCAGATGTATTTTTCTTATTTTTAGCCCAATTTTCCATTTTTGATTCTTAACCTCAGTTTTTTGTAAACTTTAGTATTGGGCTTTAAAATACAGGGTTTATCAGATGGTTGTTTTTTAAAACCAGCTGTGCTATAATTTCGTGAAGAAATTTTTCTAAAACATTATTTTCTGACAGAACCATGTCTTCTGAGCATTTTGTATTTTAGATCATAAGTAAATTTGCCACCAACAAATTTGCAATTTTTTCAATTAGTATTTCTTTTTGAAGTTATTTTTCAATATGACAAGGCGGCTACATCATGTTCGAGGTTTGAGAAATGCTTGGCAGGAGGGATAGAGGTCGTAAAGCTGTACCATCTTCATTAAATGAACTTCGCTTGGTCCTTAATGAAGAATGGGAAACAACGCAATATGATATATCAGCCTCAATGATCGTATCATAGTTTAAGGAAAAGAGTAGTTGCACTCTCGCAAATATTTTCTGCCAGTTTTTGCAAGCTGTCGAATATCGGCAGCTTGCAAAGCGTTTCAGTTGAATTCCGTCCGTCGAGCTGCGAAGTTCGAGCGTTGCGTCCCAGCACAGAGATGGATTGACAAAAAATGAGTACCTTACTGTGTGCTGCTATTAATTGTAGTAATAATTCAAAAAATTGTTCTTTGAGTTTTTTTTTGATTTCCATCGGATGTAAATCGGCAAGCTGATAGTAATTATCAATAAACATTTAATTAATATTTTAGAAGCTGAGATATTATGTAATTAATTAAATGTTATTATTTTTTTTTAGCATGTGGGCAAATCTTCGAAATAGTTTTTTAGATATACAGGATGTCTCAAATATGCGCATGAAAATATTCTTTGGCCAGGGGATTTGCCATAAAATTTTCATTCCAATAATAATTTACGAGATAATTTATATAGATTGGTTTTTGAAACAATTTTAGAGTAAATATTTTGTACATCTAAAGTCTCCGCAAATTATTCATATTTTTTAAATGAAAGAATTTTATAATAGCATAATCTATTATAAATTTAGTGGACTGTATTTTTTTATGTTTTTTTTTTATTTTATTTATTTTTTATTATAAGTGGTCGTAATATAACAATATTCAAAATACTATAGACAAAATATTGAGTTTATATTTGAGGGAAGAAAAGTGCCACACCTAGCTTTAAACCACCGTAAATATACAGGGTGGTCCATTATTGCGAGGAAGTCCAATATCGTCGTTCTTGTCGAAGAAAGTTTTATTCATATGTTTATGAAAAAAGTTTTATTCATATGTTTCAAGGTTTATAAAGGGTCGTATCCTAAAATATTTTGTTATATACAGGGTGTCACAAAAAAGTTATGGTAGAGTTAATTTTATTTTTTTTTAATTATTTTACATCATTCTATATACATTATTCTATATAGAGATTAATGTAATATTACACTTTAAATACAAAAAATGTTCACTTTTTAATTCTACATCTGAAAGAAAAATAATATACTAGGTGTTGCATTTAAAAAAAATGAGATACAACATTTTAAATATTACGATTTTGGTGACGCCATAAAAAATACCCTGTATACGATAAAGTAAATTTTTCTACACGAATTTATTCTGGTGTCCTTGTTTTAAGAAAACATAGCTAAGTATTAATAAAGTTATATTCACTCTAGTTTTTTGCCACTTTTCATATATAACGTTTTTAACCAAAGTTATAGTAAATAAGAAATAGAATGGCAACACCGCAGTGTGCTTTAAATAGAATCCAGTTATCTACAGAAAATTAAACTTGTTTTAAATCAAAAAAAAAATTATGTTGTAAATCTCGATAATTATTTAATTAATTAATTAATTTACGCCTTACATGTTTCATCAAAATTAACATTTTTATTTATAGGACTGTTCTTATATCGTAATAACAATATGAAATTTATTAAAGTAGTTTTCATGAAATTAATCAACAAGAAAAGACGTAGTTTTTACAGAAGAACTACACGTAGGTAATCAGGTAAATTTACTACTTCCGAACCCTGGCCAAAGAGTAGATTAGACAAGAGACGACAGTGAACAAAGAAGTCGAATTTCGCGAGAGAGACGCAGATATATTAAAATTTAAAGGTCCCATCAAGTCCCATTTTGTCTGTTGCCAAGTATATTTCTTTGAAAAATAAACAAGATTTTCTGTAAATAAATTAATAATATGAGAAGGATATAAGTTACGGAAATGTAAATTTTTAGTTTAGGTTGGTTTAGGTTCTTTTTTCGCAATGTACTGATAATATCAAAGAAACAGAATGACTTAATTGATCGATTTCAAAGATAAACAGATAAAATCTCAAAATCTGACAACGGCGTATTTTATCTAATCTAACCTATGATTTTAGGACGCTAATCAGCTGTGCTGATCAGGCTTAAACATAAATAAATCTGATTAGTTATTTTCTTGCATTTTTGCCTTTTTAAAGTGTGTTTTCAGAGTTTTTCGATATATTATCGTTTTGAGAGTTTTTAAGGTTTAATTTTAGTATCGTTTTTGTTGCGTACTAATTTGTAAATATTGTTAAATATGAATACTGAACAGGACACGAGTAGAGCAGGAAAAGACGAGATGGTGGCAATGTGTGTGCTTATAAAGACTGCAAAAATCTTAGACTAAAACTTCTAGACGGAGCAAGTCATTCATAAATCTACTACAACCATGTTCCACTTGGCCTGCTTAGAATGGAATCACGGAGGTTAAAATATCAATGAAATGCCTTGAGTGGGGATAAGAACTTGGGACAGCAAATTTGGCGCGGCGATACTGGATGGACTAATCCAATGGCGTACTAGTTTTCGCAATTTCCGAAACATGAATTTAATTAAATTAATATAAAATTAAAATCGATCTTTAAAAAATTGTGTTAGCTAATATAAATCTCAAAATCTTATTTTTATTTTGATTTACATTTATACAAGACGCCTTATATTTAATAGCATAGCATTTTAAAATGTCTTTATTTTATTAATTACCGATATAACATAACATTTTCTTTTTCAAATTACTACCATATTAGTTATAATTTTCAAGCTATGTATAAAACTCCGATTTATATATCAATTTAATTTTTATGTAAATTTACTAACAGGTGCATTTTTTATTTAATGCTTTATAAAATATTTTTTCATTATTTTATAATCCTAAAACTTTGAAACCAAATTAAAAATAAATTTAAATATCTTTTATGCATGATTTAAATCATGTTCAGTGAATCTTGATTAGCACATACCTTGTGTTTTTCAGAAGTGGTTCACTCCTATAACTTTTTGATTTTTTCCAAATAAAAAAATGAAATTTTGTATGTTACTAAATGACATAAATCGGGATTGATTGTTTTCAATTACTTGTTTCACCGGAAATGATTTAAACTTTTGAATTGTAAATGGTGCCCTAGGATTTTTTTTTTTCACTTTATTTGATAAAAAATTACATTATGACCATGGCATTCTAGAGTGAAATTTAAAAAATACCAATAAAAAACAACTACAATATAAACAAGCAGGTTTAACTTTGACAATTAATGACAATCGACAGTAATTTTACAATAAGTTTTTACAAATTAATTGAAGGGTTGTTTTTTACCCTAACTTTAAAACACCCTGTGCAATAATTTCGAGAGCAAATTTTCCTAAAACATTATTTTTTAGTGAGAACCCCATCCTGAATATCATCAGTCATGTTAACACACGTCTTGGTTAATTTTTAAGAGCAAATGAACTGGCTACAAACATTTTGCAATGTTTTCGATTATTATCGTTACTTTTTAATGTTATTCTTCATCCATCTACCCGAAGCCCCATCTCGGGATATTAAAATATAACATCGCATGCAAATTGTTGGTGGCAATTTCATTTCGCTCTTAAAAATGAACCAAGGCATGTGTTGACATGAGTTAAAAACAAAATTCTCTCTCAGGAGACATGGTTCTGATCGAAAAATACTGCTTTACGAAAAGTCACTCACGAAATTATTGCACAGGATGTTTTAAAGTTAGCGTAAAAAACAGCCGTACAATTAACCCTGTATTAACCAAACCAAACCAAATACTGAAGTTTATAAAACCAAACCAAATACTTTGTAACCAAACGTTTACAATACTTGTAAACCAAACCAAATACTGAAGTTTATAAAAAACTGAATTTATTAATTAAAGTTGATATAAAGTTTGCCAAAAAAATCATTAAAATAGGGCTAAAAGTAAAAAGAAATATCACATTAAACTTGAAAAAATTATCCGTTGGGTTTTTATTATATCTGAGTGTATATTAAAAAATATATTTAAAAAATACAGAAACAGACACATACATAAAATATAAAATATAGGAATTATTAATATATTCGACTATAAGATGGGTATTAACTTTGTAGGAGCGAAAAAAAAACGGGAATCCATGACACTTATCATTATAATTGTTTTTGATCAGAAATTTTGAAGGCAACACTGACGCCTTTTTTTGCGATCATACGATTTTTACGTGAGCACTGCATTAGGCAAAATAACAAAGAACAAAATGTAGGTATTTCCAATTTACAGATGATTTACACTGGGCCTACCTAAAGTACCTTTTTTTGTC